CGTAAGTACAAAATAGTATTGAAGGTTAACAGTTTGGGTTGTACGGGATTCTCTGTAACGTCTAGAGACCTACCGGCTGGGGCAAAAAGGACTTCGACAAGCTGTCGAAGAGCACCCGTATAGATTTACGGTACATTGTTGCAGTCGTTTATATTCCAGCAATCAAAAAACTGATAGACTGCTTGACTATCGGTGAATCTCCATACTACCTTCTACAGCCAGACGCCCAGCGCGTTCTCGAGCAGGAAAGCACGTAATACGACACTGTACAACCCAAACTGTTAACCTTCAATACTGCTTTGTACTTACGATCTTGTATCCACTGACTGTCTTGTTAGATTAACCCAATAAATTTCATTCACTCCGCATACTCAATCCTATAGACACCCTTTTAATCCTTCAATCACAGACGTAACTCGATTTCACAAAACAATCAAGAGTATTCAAACCCACTTCATTTAAAATTCCCGATTCACCATTACAACACTGACTTCAGCAGCGATTGCCTCAGTCTTCCCCAAAACTCTACGAAGAAGAAAAATCCAAATTCTATGTCTTTCCTTCCCCGACCCGAAGCATGAAGCTCCTCTCTCTAATTCCCTTAATCTTCAAAAACCTCCAATAAAAAAAATCCGAACTGGTAACCTTGCAGAAGCTTGAAAAATCCTTCCCCCTCCCCGATTTCCCTCAAAAAAAAAACCACCCCCAAAACTATATCCCACCTAACCTTATCCTCTGAATTTCTTCAATCTTCCATCTTTGATCTGGAATTGGCTCCCACCTCAAGCTTGGATCCGAAATTGGCTCTCGCCGTCAAGCTTTCTCCTCCATTTTTGCCTTTAAGAAATCCATTTACCGAAAACAACGTTCCCTGAGACGGCACAGAGAACAGGACAGCCTGAAACAGAATCGAACCCCGTAATCGGGACCACATTGAGTCGCCCGACCAATTCAGGTCCTATATTGGAAAAGATGCCCGTAGTAACATGGATGTTCCCGTAATTGGGTCAAATTGGTCCTCGCGTCAGATTGGCTAAGACCCGTAGTAAGACCTGGATTTCCCGTAATTAGATTGCACTGGGTTGACTGGCCAATTCAGGTCTCATATTGGATAAGAGGACCCGGATTGGATTACCGAAATTGGATCCAATTGGCTCCTCGAACCCGTCTTGTGAATTGGTCCTTCTCTTCCTGCTGACTCCCGTTATTGGGATCGAATGGAGCATTTCAGTATGCCCCGGCTGACTGTAATGCAGTGACTGAACCTGACCACTCAGTATTTGTACTGGAGTTGGTCGATGCTCCCAATATTCGAGGTAACTGAATATTAATAAAATTCTCCTTTCTTTTTATTTTCACTGTATAATCGTGTTACAACAGGACAGCGTATCAATGAATCTAACTTGTGATCCTGGAGTTGGATAGCTTTGGGGTTGAAGTTCAATCACAAGTTGCACTTGATTGATAAATCCTCAAAACTTAGATCTGGTGCCATCAAACTTCTCGGGTAGGGCAATTCTTGGTTTCCTAACATTTGAAGGGAGTTCCACCATAGGAGAAAGGACATGGTTTGGTGCAGATGTTGAAGCAGCTCCAACTATTTCTATATCTTCACTTCCTGCCAATCTTGTTGCTCCTTGTGGTGGTAAATTGAGTTGATGCATCGCAAGCATTAACTCCCTCAATTGCTCTTGCATTTGTGCCATTGCACTCTTCATTTCAAGAAGTTCTGCCATGATAACACTTAGAAGAGAAAAGATGTCTAATATCGCTCAAGACAAATAGAAGAGAAGACTTGTGGACAAAGAAAATACTAAGGACAATATCAGTTTAGAAGAGGATAATCCGCAACTTCTAATATGCTTATATCTTATCAAGAAAAAGGGGTAATCCACTCTTAATCAAGATTAGACAAAGCTCTGATATTATAAGTGTACTCTTGTCAATCTGTCAAGGACAAGAACTCGATGAAAAAACAATTCAGACAAGTGAGCCTTCAGTCAAAGAGAGGTAACAAAATATATATAAACAAGTATATATATTGAAAGAGAAATTAGAATGGCTATTGCCAAAAGACAAGAAAACTAGAGACCCTTGAAACTAGACTAGAAGCAAGAAAGGAGTTGACAAGACTGAAGAAGCCTTCACTCTTGTCTCTATATATACTATCTAACTAGGGGCTATGTGGCGATGTTCTATAGGACCTCCAATATGTGTTGACTTTGTAGGACACATGCCTTGACTTACAAGGCAAGTTTTTCTACGTGTGGACTACATAGTTAGCTTGATCTTCAATCTAACATGTGTGGCACATGGCCAACTTGTTGACCACGTTTCTAATCCAAAAAGTCAATTAAAGACATCTATGAAGTTAAAGCAGCGTCTACGAAGCTTCTAAGAAGCTTTCATATTAAATATTATAAAATTAACTTACTTTTATCTACTTTTACTTACTTCTACTTATTTCTATATGTAATTATTAGCTTACATGATTATGGCGGTGACAACATGTCTCCTTCAGAGCCATATAAGATAGTGAATATATCAAAAAAAAAAGACAAGTACCACCACTTCTTATAGAAGTCGGTAATAATGAAGAATTCAAGGTGGACGAAGTCTTAGACTTGACGCAACATCGATTTAAGTTGGAATAGCTTATTCATTGGTGTGGATATGATATTAACAAATGTACATGGGAGCCAACAAAAAATCTTACAAATGCAATAGAGAAGATGAATGCTTTTCATCAATGATGTCCATCAAAACTAAGAGGAAGGATAATTTTAGAAGAGTATAGCATCCATAATTTTTTTGTTTTATTTCAAAAAATTTAACAAATCTATAAATTAAGTTAAAAGAAGATAATTCACAACCTCTAATAACAAATAAAAATTTCCACAAAGAGGGATAATTTACTCTTTTGAAGAAAAAAATTGTATTAAAAAACTAAATAATTTATTTAAAAGTGGATAATCTATAATTTTTAAAGTACAACAATAAAAGTAAGGTAATCCATTCACTTCTAAAACAAGACAAGAACAATGAGTTAGAACTCTTGTCAAACTGTCAAGGATGTGAATCTCAAAGAACTAAATGTCAATACACTCTTTTGTCACTTGAAAGGACTAAAAAATTAGTCAAAGATGATATAGTATTAAACTAGAATGGTTATTGCCAAAGAAAAGAAGATTAGAAAGATTTAAAACAAGACTAAGGACTTGAAAGGCATTGACAAGAGTGAAGAAGGCTTCATTTTTGCCTCCATATATACTTTTAACTAAGAGCTATATAGTGATTTCGTGTAGGACCTCCATTACATATTGACTTTGCAAGACACATATCTGAACTTACAAGGTAAGTTTTCTATATGAACACAACATAGTTTGTTTATTTTTCAAGCTACTAAGACATGGTTAGCTTATTGACCAAGTTTCTAACCTACCAATTAACTACAAAGACATGTAAAGTTAAAGCAGCATCTATGAAGCTTCTAAGAAGCTATTCTAAAAAATATTATGAAATAAATATACTTTTACTTACGTCTACTTAATCATATAAGTAAATATTAGAATAAATATGTATGTTTGTAATACTATATTTTTAGAGCTACTTCTAATTTTTATTTATTTTAATAATATTAATTTGTAATTGTTCTATGTTATTTCTTATTGTAATAGATATTAATCTATAATTCAATCCAAGTTTGGATTTTTGTTATATAGAGTGATTATCAACACTAATACTTCTGCCTTGGAGATAAATATTCATTACTATATATTATTGATTCTTAGTAAAAAGAACTACTATATTAAAGAAATTGTGGCTGCTTTCTTAATGTTATATTAAACAGATCTTTTTACCAAATATTGATAAATAAAAAAATCTCAAGTATTGTAGGAAAAATAATTAGGATATTTAAAAGAATTGTGCCATGTTTATCAAGTTATTATTCTATGTTGCCATTATTAAGCTATTGTTGGACATCTAAGAAATTTAAAGATTGACAATAATATAATTGGAACTATATGTAGTATCAATCAAGGCATTGTTTATATTAAAAATTATTTATTTGATTGAGAGCATGATGGAACTATCTTTTGTTTCTCTTGTTTTTGACTTTCTACATGATCTTTTGGTATCTATAGATGTACTTTAAGTCCATACCATCTAATTACAATCTTAATGAGTCAAAAAGGCTTTTATTAAATTAGAATATTTGTAATATAATTCCTATGAAGCCATTTTGTCTAAAGATGAGGATTGGTCAAGAGTTGGTAAAACCATTGTATTTCTTTCTTCTAATATAATTTTATAAGACAATGCTAGAATTAAAACTAAAACCATAATATTGCAGTTTGATATTAATTCAATTTTAGCATAAGCTTAAAATTATTTGTTAGTAAATATAAAGTTGTTGTTTGAAGAATTACTTGCTCTACAATAGAAGTAGATATAATTGTCATCAAACATTTTGATGCTTGTGGATATATTTCTTTTGTAGTAATATTATGAATACAACTCAATGAATATGGAGTCATCTCTTGCATGACATTACTGATTGTATGAGAAGAAATTAGTCTAGAAGAGGTTGTTATAGAGGATACAATGTAACTTTGCATCGGGGTCTCTTTGCTCCCATTTTTACCTTTCTCTTCTCATGCAAAATTGATATACACCTCTTTAAGTTGACTCCATTAATACTAAACATGATCTTAAGAGGAATAGAAGAGGAATAGAAGACATGTCTTAAGGATTTTTTTATTGTGTTTAATTGGATGCAAGGACTATTGTTCTTCGGCACATAATTAGGACCACTGTTAATATGTTTAGCTTGCTAATTGGTCTTTGCCATATTTCTTTGTGCTAGTTATTGGGTTATTTAACTTGATTTCAAAATCCAAGCCTACTCCAAAGTCCAATAGTTTGAACTTGTGGTGCAATAGATCCCTTGACACACTCTCGACATTGTCCATTCTGACAATGTTTACAGGTTTGCAACCTTTAAAGAATAATAATAAAAAAAATAAAATTCTCTATTCAAGTGCAAGGCAACTAATTCCAAAACAAACTCAGAAACAACTTGCAGTTGTGCGATGCGGCGACAGCCGTGCCCGCAATCAGCCACACTCTCGACGACTTCTGAAACCCTAAAATCACTACTCCGCCACCTCTCTCAGCCTCTATTCTTTTATGCCATATGAAGAATTCAAGCTTGATTCAAAGTTCGTCAACATCTCAAGCGGAACCCATCTGAGAATAATGGCCATTAGCCAGCAGCCCCGTCACTGCCAGCTCAGTGTAGGCATGCCTATTCTTCCAACTTTGAGAGCTCCAATTCACAGTGCTGTGCATTTTTATCAGATAGTGCGGAACGCACCAAGTATCACAAATATCATTTATCCATTGGCAATGAAACCATCCACTCTGTTCACTAAGGTGCACCAACGCTTTAGCAAGATTTCGAGCATCACCCATTCTGTTTATCGATGACCTAATTTTCTCCGCCCTGGTGTTGCGAACCGGCATTGTCTTAGCAAGCATTAAAAATTGGCACCCATGATTAATGTTGACTTCGATCAGAATTTTTTTAGAGGATTCGAAGAATTGGTGTTCGCGGCTAATCAGTTTGGTGGGTCCCGGATGCCGTTTTGGACAGGGTTGCGGTTTTGCGAAGCAGTACTAGGTTGCAGTGGTAAATTACAATGAGGGACGTATTAAGGACCCGTTGATTGTGCAACATTATGTAGATTCTTCGAGAGACTATGGGTCGTTGTGCTGCTAACAACAGACTTTGCCAGTTCTTTTGTAGTCCACCGGGTTGCGTTCCTGCCAATGCTGTGATTCGGATAGCTCCTTTGCATCGGCCCAGAGTGGACACGACGGCGGTGGATCCTTTTGGGTAAGCTGTCTTGTTGGTCTTGTGACAGGGCTTCCCATGTTTGGTCGTGGCTTGATTGGTTTGGGATCTTTGTGATTTGCACGAGTTGGGTGTTTGACATTCATCTTTTGTGCCAGTGAAGGCGTGCACATACTCTGTATCTTCAATCGCTCCTCCTCGCCGATGACACTGTAGAGTAGTGTGACGCCGGGTTCGTGTAGGTTGTTAGCTCCATGATTCTCCTGACACCTTTTCGGTTCGCTGCTCAGGGAATTCGAGGACTTTCTTGCGTGCAAACTTATTCCCTGATCGTTGAGACCCTGTCTGTACGCATCCTTCAGAGATAATGTAGCTTTTGTTGGAGATTGAAGCGAACTGCGCGCGTCGGTTGTGTGCAGCGTATCTGCCGAATTAGGTGGCTTTTCTGAATAGCCTTGTTTCGACTGCCAAATTTTTTTTCTGCCTCCTCGAAACAATGGTTGTTTGGGTGGCTCCTTAACATGCAGATTTGGTGGTCTTGCTTCGGCGGTCGTAAGCCGGCTGATGTCAGAGCGATTGGAACTACACTGGTCGTCTACATCAATTACTTGTAGATTTGCCTGACTGTCATGAAGGACTTCATCCTTCCTGGGGTTTGTGCCAATGTCAGGCGTTCCATTGAGTTCCTTGTCGCGATTCTCCTTCTCCTTCTGTGCCTCATTCTTCGCATCCACAAAGTAGTCGTTGTACACAACAAACTGATTTGCCTGCACTGACGCAAAACGAAGGATGTCATGGCACTCGTGTGGACCTTGTTTCTCGGGTCTCCTTCATTTGATTGTTTGTTTCGGTAATATCTCAACAATCAGACAACTCACAAAAAATCACGATGTTAAAAATCATGAAAAACGAACCTGGTCGTTGTAGCTTCTTAGATTGTAGTACTTGGACATGAAGGAGAGCAGTTTGTTAGAGGGTTTGTCGTAGCTGCACATTAAGAACACAACAGGAAACTTAAGCGGCGCTACAGCGCAGGAAACGCCTCTTCAAAGCCTGTAGCAATTGAAGTCGGTGCTCTGCATTTTCAGACAGATACCCAGTAACAACATCTCGCATACACGCCTACAGGGTTCGAGAGCACATATGTTGGATTGCACAACATCATTTTGTCATGACAAGCTCTACTTCGAGGTAATTTCCACAGGTACAGGTACAGGGGAAGGGAATGAAGATAATCGCACCCAAGCTGACATGGCCTCTTCTTCTCCTGCTCGAGCATGGACCTGAATAACATATGCCCCAGTCCCTGCCTGTTCATCGCCGAGAGCTCATGTCAGACGGTTACTAAGTCTGGAACTAATCGTGCAAAAGCATGGAGATCAGTTTCAACTTGTTACAAAGCATCTGGTGGAGTAACTCCCACCTTTGGTAGGATTCGTGCACGTAAAAATCTAGCACACAGAGAGGTGATATCTCCACAAGGGGAGCGTTCGGGGTTCGTCGGATGAAGAGGTGCTTCTGACCAACTTTGAGGATACCCTGAGCAAGAATGTGACCCGAATTCCCCGGGACGCTGCTTGTGAGGAGGTAGATCTTTTGGAAGCTTTGCAGGAGGCGGTCTACACTGGTGATGGGACCGCGCAACCCTTGAGCAATTGCGGACAACTCTCCCATGTAGTTGATAATGATCTGCATTTCCTCACCATCCTTGCCTCGCATGAGGTTCACTGCGTTCAGAACAGAGGTTTACTCAACATCACACATTACAAAACACCCATACTTGCAGGAAGTTCGATTTGATTTTGTCAATGGCCTATGCTCGATCTATTCATAGTGGTAGTAGGTTTTCGTACTTAGTTGGTAGCTGTTCCATGCTGTGATTTTGGGAACCTCAGTGAAGGTCTTCAAGGATGGAATGCTGCAGACGAACTCCACCATTGTCAATATCGATCAACGCGTAGCCACTAGATGGCCGGAACAAATCTTATCCCCACTCCGAGCGTCTGCCGTTTTCCAATTTACCCTAAGATTGGCTGAAATTACATTCTGGCCGAAACTCTGGCGTACCTCAATTCTTCCTCATTCATGCAGACATGGCAAGTGATCGCACTTTTTTACAGTAAGTCCAACCAACAGTTCCCTACAGTAACCTTTCAGAAAATCTCTCAGATTCGAACTCATTTCTATTTTCAATTTCCAATTGGAAGCTTCATCAACTGTCATCATGTTCGCATTCAACTTGGGCTAAATGGCTTTTCTGCTGTTGCGGGGGAGAAGCACCAACGTTCTCGACTTCGAACGGCAACACATCGTCATGAATACGAACTGCCCAATCATAGCAAGCTGGGGATGATTTTCCGGTGATGATACCATAAGTTCCAAGAAGAAGCAAATGAGGAGAAAGAAGAAAGCGGGGGAATGAGCCACGCATGGGTAATGGCGTCGACCTAGCGTCGCTACAACAGTAAAAGGAGGGTTGTTCGGAGTTCAGCTGGCAACTACCTTCAGTTACAGTTGCAAAGGATATGAAGCGTGACGTTGTGACCCCTGCTTTTTGCTCTTTCCTTTCATTTCTGCCCTCACCATCCCACTTCTCTGCCCTTCAGTATCTTAATAAAATCATTCAACCCTCCGCCATTGCCGTGGATGTCACCTCTAACGTGCCTCATCCAATTCACTGTGTCATCTCCGAATCTCTCGCTTGGGCCCTGGCAGACTCGGATTGCAAATTCACACTGCATAACACATCGTGCGCCAATGAGAAGCATGGCAGGGAACTAATCACCACTCGTTATTTACGTCCTTCACTCGTGGTCTGTTAATGTATGGCTGCCACTTCTTGGGGGAGTCAACATTACCGACAGGAAAAGGAAGCGCAGAGTGAAACAAACAAGACTGTCGACGGTCGGAACTTCAAATGCAACCCCAGAAAACCCATGAAATGCCAAGTTTAAGCTGACTCATAGTACATGTGCAGGTGAGGCAACTCTTCCAACATGATAAACATTACATCGTGAGAAGGCCACCACAAAGGAGGGCTCCAAGAAACCATACCCAGCCGCTCACTCAAGAGCCTGCGTTCCTTTTCTCTTTTTATCCACGAAGATCGCTTTTTATCCACGATCTTCTGCTTTATATCACAAGCAGGCAGGCTGTACCTCGTAACTACTTAGAGGGATCCCCCCCCTCTCGTGGTTCAAAGAGCATTCAGCAACCAACACGAATAACTCAGTAGTCGCATACCGTTACCAACGTAGTACAGTTACCATCCACAAATTGACAGCTTGGACATGATGAATATCACGACCGGCTCTCTCGATTGGGAATCTTTTGATAACTCGTGACCTTTGATCGAAGGCACGGATCCTCGTTGTACATTTCTCGGGGTCACAGCCCTAGTTGTGTGTATACAGCCTTGATTGCTACCCCCCAGTTCAGAAAATCAGTAGCTTGTCATGGCAGCTACATCGTACATCATAACGAGGACTGCCGGTTTGTATCTAGCTACGCCCCAGTCCTCAAACTTCATGTTTTATCTACATATACCATTGCCCGCATCTATCAAGCTTGCCTAGTATCAAAACTAAACCTACATGTGAAGAAGTCACCGAGACTGAGTGACTTCCACAGCGATAATGTATAATGACGTGGATAAAGAAGATAGTATTGAAAAGCAGAGACCAGGTAAAAATCCACAATGTTCGTAAGTCGCCAGCTACGAGCAGCACTCAGAAGTAGATGGAGTGATTGCAGCAATTGGTTTGTCTACGATGACAATACTCCTTCTTCGTGCAACACCCTTGTTGTTTTCGGAGCCCACAGCTACTCTTTGTTGTATCACACGACGAGCTTGATCCAGAAAGGCCTCCTCAATGCCAGTGTTGAGTTTTGCAGATGCTACAAAATGAGATGCCCCAATCGACTCTGAGTATACAGCATCATGCATGTTCACGTGCCGGGACTGATCCATGTCACTCTTGTTGCCAGCAATTGCCAGCACGATGGTTTTGGAAGCCATCTTCTTTAGCTCCCGCACCCAGCTTTTAACGCGATCGAAACTGTCTTTGTCCAGCAAGTCATACACCAGCAGCGCTGCATCAGCATCACGATAATAGAAAGGACCAAGCCCATGGAACCGCTCCTGCCCAGTTGTGTCCCAAATGCAAATATTGACATCTTGCCCATCTACACTCAAGCGCTTCGTTAAGTATGATGCCTGAATTGTGGCCATCTGCTTCTCAAAGAATACATTGTTGATATATCGCAGCGCGAGAGACGTCTTTCCTACGCGTCCATCGCCCAGAAGTACTAGATTGATCTGTATCAGAACGGCGGGCCTCATCCTTCTGATGTCTCGCTTCTTTTTCTTCCTCGTCCACACTACTTCCTATCCCCCAAACCTCAATCATTTACCACAACCCCCTGTTGCGTAATCCACCATTATCTGTTATGATTAATATGATAATTCGTCTACAAAGAGCTGTTCATCGATCTCCTAACACCCTCTCACGACCAAACGAAGCCCCCCACCCCGCAACTATTCCGCGAAACGTCTCAGTTCATCTCAGCCATCCCCTCCACCTTACATCAGCTTCACAACAATTCAACCAGCAAATTACCTCATCCTCCATCCGCAACATCTCCCATACTTCAGAAATATCGCAAATCCTCCAGTAGAATTGAACCCAAATGACAAGAGCTTGAAAAGATCAACATACCGCATCAATTAGTGTGACCTTTTCATGGAAAACCGAGCAAAGGTCACGAAATTCAGTCTGACAAGAACATGCAATAAATGGTCCTACCCACCAAATCCGATGATCTAAATTCTACCATAAAGTTCAAACGAAATCCCACACCGATCCGAATCGAGCTCCGCCTAACGAACTCAACGATTTCTGCGTTAGAGGAATCGGAGAAGCCCGCCGAATCGGAGAGAAGCACCTGGCAATGGACGCCTCGACGAGAACGAGATTTTGTGATCGACGAGGGCGAAGAACGAAGGACGACGTCAACGAAATTAAAATGAACGAAGAATTGCGACGTCCAGTCGGTTTAAATGAAGGACGAATGAGGAGAGGATGAACGAAGAAAATATGGACGAAATATAAACGAAGAAACGGCAGTGAGGTCCGCGGAAGATACAGCGGGGTCGATACCGGCGGCCGACTGTGTGTCTGAGCGAGAAAAATGTATAAAGCCGAAATTGGACCTTGCACTTCAAGCACTCGTTGCATTACTCTTGTGTTGCCGAAATTCTGAGTGTAGTCTGTAGTGCTTGTGACGGATTTTGAGTGCGGGACGAGGGTTTGGAGTGGGATTCCAAGGGTTGAGTGAGTGGTAGGGGATTTGGGATGGGGAAGCGCAAGAGCGCGGCGAAGCCGGCGCCCAGGCGCGGGCAGGAGAAGTTGGCGACGGTGTTCAGTTGCCCTTTTTGCAATCACGACAACAGCGTGGAATGCCGTATGTGAGTGAAGAGCCGTTTGCGACCCTTGGTTTGTGTTTTCTGCGCCATTTGCGTTGCGGTCTTAGACACTGGGGTTTGTGACGAGAATTGTGTTTTTTTTTGGTGATTTCAGGGATCGTAAATCGCTAATTGGAGAAGCGTCTTGCCGAATATGTTTGGAGACGTTCAGCACTCCTATTGATTGTGAGTTTCCTCTTACGATTGTGCGCATTGAAGGTTAAGTTTGTAGAAATGGCGAAAATGGTGCACTATTCAGATGTTTTGGGGTTTCCTTCACTGACCATGTGCAACTGAGGTTTTCTTAGTCAATGAGGTGTGATGAATTTGGAGACTGAAGCTGTGAATCTTACATCGTTTTTTCTGGTAATCGCAGCGCTGAGTGACCCCATCGATGTTTACAGCGACTGGATTGACGAGTGCGAGCGGATTAATGGTGGAGCCGACGCTTGAGATTCTCATGCGAGGGCTGTTGGGATGCTAAGAGCTCTAGCGTTCTCCTCGAGTAGAATACAGAGATTTTGTACACTCTAGGAAACTTGATAGGTAGCCACACTCATTGAGCCTGAAAAGGAACTTCCTCATTTGCTTTGTGCTGTTGCCTGTATAGTCCCTTTGAAAAGAATCTTTGTTCGATAGGATGAGATTACTACTTCACAGGGAGTATAAACAAAAATTCCAAAAAATCATAATCAAAAACAGAAAAAACGAAAAAAACAAGTTTAGAACACAAAGTAAGTGTCCTAGGAGATTAACTACGTACATGGGTTTGTAGATTATTACGCGGCCGGCCCTCTGCTCGAGCCTCTTCATTACGCTGCTACTTTCAGATCTGCAAATGAGTTACTAGGTTTTTAAATACGAGTCGAACTTTTTCTCACCATTTGGTCCAAATTTTGCTCTGCGTGTGCATGGGGTTAATTGTTCATGCAAGTGTAGCAGAATCTCAAAGAGCAATCGGGTGGAGATCGAGAGGGAAGAAAAATTCCCGTTGCTCAGCATGATTTGTGCATGGAACTGGATGGTAGTGCCTGGATGCAGCTGGATTTCGAACTGGCACTGTTGGCATCGTCGAAAATCGGTATTCTTCCATGTGATTCTTCTGCTCCAGCCCTTGTGTGGAGATTATGCTTGCTGTGTGTGCTCTTTTCTGCAATTCCTCTGAACCTAGAAACTAGTTTCACAGGATTTGTTTTGCTTTCTCTACACTTGTGTTTTTCTCTTTACTTCTGTTGTTGAGCAAACAAATAGGTCAGATGAATTCTTCTTAATCCCTTTTAGAGACATTTTGTATTTTGGAATTTGTAGAATAGTTGTAAGAATTGAATTGGGAGCATGAAAGTTGGAAAATTGTATGAATGGTGTGGAGAACTTTTTATGAGAAAATTCACATTGCTAAAGAGTGTTAAAAGTATAGTCAAGACTTGTTATTCATTATTTCTTTATAGAACTCAAGGTGATTTCTTTTAACAACACATATTTGTATATATCACCTTTTTATTTTACATACATAGATAGATATATATATATATATATATATATATGCATATATATGAGAGAATGTGATATTAATCCATGCTTTTATTAAATAGATCTATCTTTCATGAAGAATATGGTAATGATGATGAATGTGATTGGTTTTTATTGGTTGCAAATTTAATAGTTGGGAAATGAATCTATAGGTCATTATTTTTTTTCATAATGATAGGTGAGTTGATTTAATGAAAATTTGGATCTATTTTACATTCTAGTTATATATATATATAATTGTTAATGTGATGTACATATTTACTAATTTGATATATTCTAACCATTGTCAAAAAATAGATCATTTCCACATGTAGTTTTCCATTGTTGGACATACAACTAAATAATTGGTTGGTTGACTTATCATGGTTACTACCATAGAAATAATAGAGCTTGTAGTTGATATATGAGACTTATTCTTATATGTTTTATCAAAGTTGTGATCAATTTTATGAGAACATGGATGAAAAGATTTTAATGGAAAAATATTTATCACTTTTGCTATTCCCATTTAGGTCTTTTGATCCATAATTATATCTCTTTTTATTTTGGAGGAAAACTTTTGAACATTCTTATCATACATACTATATAACAAATATAACACTATTTGCTAAATTGAAAATTAAAGGAGTTACAATAGACATATATATTGCTTTCAAGTTCCAACTTTGCTATTAAAGATAGTGTATTCTTTGATTCTTACTTATAAGAGAAGATAAAACTTAGTAAAATGACATTACTAAATAAATCTTTGAATGTGTTGTTATACAAATTTTAACAATATATGAAAATTAGCTTAAAATCATAAAATATTATATTTTTTTAATATATATTCTATTAAATAAAATAAAAAATTACGAAAACAATTAGGATCTAAAATCTTTAAGTGAGAAATTAGAATAAAGGTTTATAAAGATGTTTTTAGTAAATATATAAATATATGTGGATTTTAGTTACAATAAGCATTATAATTTTGTTGAAAACAAAGTTATATAAAAAGAAATTTAATAAAGGTCCAAATTTTATTAGATGTTGTTTCTTTAAAAAATATTTAGAAAAATGTAGAACAATTAGTAGCAATCAAAGGCCATGTACTTTTTTAAGGCAAGATTCTCTTCAAGACAAATTTTTGTTTCTATTAAAAAAAACTTTGAAGCTTATTTTATTCTATTAGAGACAATAGAGGATATTGAGTCAAGATTTGGAATGTCAAAAGGAATAGCTTCAAATAACTTATTTTAAATATTTATACAATTCATGGAGCAATAATATCAAGGTCAAGAAAGTAATAAGATGTCAAAGACAAGAACATGATAAAGACAAATAATCAAGTGAGACTTCTCTCTAAAAAAGATGACAAAATAGAAATAACTTGATATATATATTAAGAAAGAAATTGGAATGGCTATTGCCAAAAGCCAAGAAAACTAGAGACCCTTGAAACTAGACTGGAAACAAGAAAGAAGTTGACGAGAGTGAAGAAGGCTTCATTCTTGTCTCTATATATACTATCTAACTAGGGGCTATGTGGCGACGTTCTATAGGACCTCCAATGTGTGTTGACTTTGTAGGACACATGCCTTGGCTTAGAAGGTAAGTTTTTCTATGTATGGACCACATAGTTAGCTTGGTCTTCAAGCTAACAACATGTGTGGTACATGGCCAACTTATTGACCACGTTTCTAATCCAAAAAGTCAATTAAAGACATCTATAAAGTCAAAGAAGTATCTATGAAGCTTCTAGAAAGCTTTTATATCAAATACTATAGAATTAAGTTACTTTTACCTACTTTTACTTACTTCTATCTACTTATATATGAAATAATTGGCTTATATGTATATGTCCGTTACATTACCCCCTCTTTTAGGGACGAGTTCTATAAGAAGCAGTCATCATATGTTGAGGAAATCTATGATGTGACATATTGTATTTGCCACATACTCTGATCTTTGTTTTCTTGGAAGATGATTGATAGGGCCTCTCAACCATCAGTAGTGTCCCATACCAGGGCAGGAAGACCACCCAGTTATTTGATCATTGTTGATGCCTTCACAACTTCCTTGAAATAAAACATTTGGAACACTATCAGGAGTTGTTCCTACCTGTAGTAAAATCACCAAACATTGGGAGTCCTTTCCAAGGTCGTAATACCAAACGCGTTGTATTTCTCCATCTATTCGAGGAAGGACATGTCGTTCTTGAAGATCTTCATCTCGATTGCGTTGTTTTGAAGGTTGCGACAATTGTAATGTCTCGTCCGGTAGATCAACAAACAAAGGCTCTTGAGTCGAATCTGTTGGTTGTTGGTTCTCCATCTCCTGAGCATCACAACTACAAAGAAGCTACAAACAAGGATTGAAAGTACAATGTTATCTTGCCTAGATCTTTTTTCTTTTATAAAGAAGGTTTTTATTTTGATTTTGATGGATGTCATCGATGAAAAGCCTCCACCACCTTTGCTGCATTTGCCAAATTCTTTACTGGCTCTCATGTGTGTTCACTAATATCATATCTATGCCAATGGATAAGATATTCCAATTTATTTCGATGCTGCCTTGAATCTAAGACTTCTTCCACTTCAAACTCTTCATTATTGTCCACTTCTATAAGAGGAGGTGGAACTTGTCTTCTTCTTGATATGTCTACTATCTTGTATGATTCAAGAAGAAACACATGGAATATTGGATGGATTTTCATTGACTCTGGTAGATATAAACGATATGCAACTGGATTGATTTGTGCAGAAATAGAAAATGGTCGAAGCCTTCGATAGTCCAACTTGTCACAAGGACGAGTAGTCTTAATATTGTGACAAAGTAACCATACCTTATCACCCATGTAGAATGGTGGTTGTTCCTTTCGATAGACATCCACATTGACCTTTTGTTGTTCTTGAGCTTCTTTTAACTGCACCTTCACCATTGCATGTAGCTCTGACAAATGAATTGCCAAATCTTTTACAACAGGATTATCCACTTTTTAAAAGTCAAAAATATCACGTCGTGGATAATAACCATAATTGGCAAAGAAAGGTGATTGTTTTGTAGAAGAATGTATTGTGTTATTGTAAACAAACTCTGCCAATGGCAAAAGAGTTATCCAATCATCTTGTTGATAGTTAATGGTACATTTTAAATATTGCTCCAAAACTTGATTAACACGCTCCGTTTGTCCATCAGTTTGAGGATGGAATGTTGAAGATAGTTTTATATCCACTTTTAGAATCTTGAAAAGAATCTGCCAAAATCTTGATACAAATTGAGTTCCTCTATCTGATATAATATCCTTGGATAATCCATGATAGCGATAGATATTGTCAAGAAAGAGCTTAGCTATTTCTTCACCTGTGATAGATTTTGTACATGGTATAAAATGTGCCATCTTAGTAAAATGATCCACTATCACAAATATAGACTCATAAGAACTTGAGATTGGAAGATCTGTGATGAAATCCATAGAAATAGAAGACCATGGTTGTTCTGGAATGGATAATGGATGAAGAAGTCCATAAGGTTGATGACGAGGAGTTTTTGATCTCGAGCAAACATCACAAGATACAAGATAAGATCATCTAGAGAGTGCATCTGACAAACCTTGTTGTTTTTTTCATTGATAAGTGATCTTGAATTCGAATTTTAAGAAAGACATATTCCAACGGGCTTGGTGACGATTCAAAACACGTGCTGATATAAAATATTTAAGGTTCTGGTGATCTGTATACACTATGACTGGGCTAGAAGCACCTTTTGGATAATGACGCTATCTTGAAATAAATCCACGATTGCAAGAAGTTCTTTGTTATAGATGTCGTAGTTGGTCTCAATTATTGAAATTTTTTTAGAATGAAAAGCTATTGGGTGAAGTTTATTATTTATTCCCATTTGTGATAATACGGAATCCAAAGTAAAGTTAGATGCATCTATTTCCATAAAAAATGGCTTAGAAAAATTGACGCGATACAAGAATGGTGCAGAAACAAAGGCTGTCTTCAAAGCTTCAAATGCTACTTCTCCTTCTTGATTCCATTGAAGTTTGTCTTTGCTAGTCAAATGTGTAAGTGGAGTTGCAATTTGATAGAAGTCTTTAATAAAGATGCGATAGTAGTTAGCAAATCCCAAAAAGCATTGGACATCTCTTACCATTTTTGGAATCTTTCAATCCATAATGATTTGAACTTTCTTAGGATCCATCATAAGTCCATCATTTGAAATGATGTATCATAAGAAGTTGACTTGAGTAGTGTGAATTACATATTTTTCTATTTTGGCATAGAGTCCTGCATCTCTTAGTTTTTGTAATACTTGGCGAACATGAAGTTCATATTCTTCTGAGTTCTTAGAATAGATTTAGATGTCGTCTGGGTAATAGATAACAAAATCATCTAAAAAATCTTAAAAGACATCATTTATTAGATGTTGGAATGTTGCTGATGCATTTGTAAGTCCAAAAGGTATGAAGTTGTATTCAAAATATCCATACCTTGTTCGAAACGCAATCTTCCATTCATTTCCTTCTTTGATGCGTACCAAATTGTATGCTCCTCATAGTTCTATTTTTGTATAGATCTTAGCTTGATTCAACTGATCAAGAAGTCTAGATATCAAAGGTAGTGGATACTTATTTTACCACTTCAAGTAGCATTCCAAGCCAATATCAAGTTTTTTAAGATGTATTTGAAAAAAATAATGCGAATACTCTTTCAAAACATCGTTCCTATGATTGCTCAATTCACCTTCAAAAAGTAGCACAACCGCTATTTGGACCAATCTACAATTTATCTCAAAATTACACGGTCCCTATTGTAGCTAAACAAATTTATTTTCCGACATGCTATTTCCTTTGATCGCCATACTCCTCATTTTATAGTTACGTCGCTTCTATGGGCAATCTTGAGCAGTGTGCTTAGATTCTCCACAATATAAGCACAATCCTTCTTGACGACGACGA